TCCTCCCCAGGTCAGGTTTTCTTTTGCATCCACCCTTTTTCTGTATCATTCAACATTAAACCCTAAGAGTGAGAAGCAAATGCTCACTGCTACATTTTCTGAGGTTATGACTCAGTTTTGAGCAGAACAGGTCCCCAGCCCCCAGTGGGCTCTGGAAAGACTTATCTGCTTTGCTCATCGTACTTTCTGTTCAGGGAGGGGGGAGGAAGGGGGGGGCAACAGACTGAGATTTTATATCCAGGATCATGACTTGCAAAATTCTAGCATGATTCTCTAGGGACTGTTCATGTAGAAGTTTTGTAAATTCTGATGACAGGAGAACACAGGGAAAGCCACTTCATGGAGGGACGTCCCACACTGATTTGTCCTCTGCACCTCAGAGCCTCGCTGTCTCCCATAATCTCCACCGGGCAGTGAGGGGAGCAAACCCTTCAGGTTGTGTGTCCTGAATCAAGAAAGGCCCAGCACCAGCCTGGTGGCTTTGGTCCAGGCTGTGCTCCTCTGGATGATAGGGGGTTTCTCCAAAGCCTGCTGACCTGACTGTGTAGGCGAGGTAGTGCCCACACTCACACAGGTAGTGCCACACACTCGCACAGGTAGTGCCACACACTCACACAGGTAGTGCCACACACTCACACAGGTAGTGCCTCACTCTCACACAGGTAGTGCCACACACTCGCACAGGTAGTGCCACACACTAGCACAGGTAGTGCCACACAGTCACACAGGTAGTGCCACACGCTCCCACAGTAGAGGCTACACTGGAATCTTGGGAAAGGAAGTTGAGTTACTTCCACCTGTGTCTATTGAGCCCATCTAAATAGTAGGGACTCCTGGTGTCTGATGTCATTAGAGTCATGGTAGGTCTGGAAAAGGTGACAAAACCTACCATGGATGCTCTCTGGATTCGGGTGGGCAGAGAAAATGTACCAGCACAATAATTCTGTCTTCCTCAGTGGAAAAAAAAAATGGCTCTTTTGGTGCAAGTGAGTAACTCATGTTTAGAGGAACACTGTCAGGGGCATAACCTGCCTCCCGGAGGACACCACGCTGAAGGTACTCAGGAGAGCAGGACCACCCAGGAGCCACTGCCCACAAGCCCAGTTTGGTACAGCACCCACCAGATCAGAGGAGGAGTGACAGGAGGCAGATTACAAAGGCAGCAGGAAGTCTAGCATGCATCCAGGGGTGAAGCAGGACACCAGCCTTGAGGGTGTTTCAATGTCTTAAATCCACTTGCTGTAAAGTGACAGCCCATTTCTCTTTCAAAACACGGGTGAGGCACACACACAGCCACCCTCAGCCACAGACACCCCCAGTGTGAATGAGTTCGGGGTATCCATTCATTCCAGGACTATAGACTCCTGTGAGCCTTTAGTGTGAGCCAGGCCCTGTGGAAGGGTAGAGGTCAAGCAAGTCTGCCACTGGGTGTGGAAGCTCCTCATGGTGCAAAGAGCCTGGCCGAAGGCACAGATTGCCAGGAGAGCAGGTCAAAGGTGTGTCACCAGGAGCAGAGGGTGGCAGGCTGCGGCTTAGCCCTGGTGAGGGGAGGGCTGGGGCAAGGGAGCATGACCTGGGAGGTAGTGGGGTCCCGGAGGAGACCCAGCAGGGCAATGAGACTTTGAGAAGAGCATGAGAGAAGGAGGAGAGGGGAGGAAGGGTCCTGCATCCCCCCATCCTGGGTAGATCCTGGTGAGGGAAAGCGAGGAGCCCAGGATGCTAGCAGGAGGGGGGATGGGGCCCTCATACAGACGGAAGCACTCCCAGGTCCCTCTGAGGAAGGGAAGGGGAGGGGAGGAATGGAGACCAAGAGAGAAACAGAGTGAGAGAGAGAGAGACTTTGAAGGCCTAATGGGGAGGGCAGGAAAATATGGGTGACACCAACAAAAGGTAGCCTGACAGCTCTGTCCCACCCTAGCCCACAGTGACCACAGGGCAGCTTACACCCCCATCCCTGGGAATTCTGCAGGCAAAGCTGTGCCACCCCTAAGCCCAGCCCTGGTCAGCAAACATCCTGAAGAATGCAGAGTCACAGGTGGCCCTGCGCTGGCCCCTCCGGCACAGGAGAGGGGAGGCCGAGTGGGCCTCTGATGGGGGACAGAGGTCAGCACTGCCCTCCCCAGTTCTCCTAGACCCAGCCAATCTGGAAGCTCCGAGCAGAGAAACTCTCACAGGACAAGAGCCCTGCCTCCTAGACTGGGCCTCAACGGTGCTGAGGGAGAAGGTGATTTCCAAGTTAACCCTCACCTGAGCCCTCTGAAATAAGCCCCGCCCTTAACACCAAGAGCCTCCTGGGCCAGCAGGCTGCCTCCTCCTGCCATGTCACACCTGCTTCTTGCTCTACGCCACGGCAACCTGAAGGACACAGGACCAACAGCAAGTGACCCTAAGGACACACCAGGCACTAGGTTCCATGCTGGGCACCAAGCTGAGGTGGCCCAGCGTGTGTTGGATTCACCTCCCAGTCCCTCGCCTCTGACAGAGGCCCAGAGCCCAGGAATGTTGGGGGGACGGGGAGGGAGGGGAGGAAAAAGGGAAGCGGAGATAGGAGGATGGCAGGAAGAAGGGAGAGGGGACGGAAGAGGAAAGGAAGGTGCAGATGAAGCATGGAGGAGGGATGAAGCAAGGGCCGGTTCACCTCCCCCTCCCCCAGCCCTGTCCCCCTCCCCCACTAGGGGCAGGCTATGCTCCTAGAGAGAGAGAGAGAGGGTCACACTTCCCAGAGGCCGCTGGGAGGCCCAGCAGTCAGAGCCCTCTCTGTTCACTGCAGATCCAGGGAAGGCAGGGGCAGCTGGGAACCGGGTAAACCATTTTCTATTGAGAAAAGAGCCAGGAAAGAAAGGTCCCGAGAAAGAGCCAGCCAGATGCCTTCAGCCCCCTGCAGGGTGCAGCTGACAGGTTCCGGAGGGGAGACACAGGTGGGTGCCCAGCAACCCAATCCGCCAGGTCACACCAAGGTGACACGTGTGAGTCTTTCTGAGGCATAGGCTCTTCCCCGACACAAAGCACAGACGAGCCCCTTTCTCGGTGCTTGCTACCTGGGGACCTGCACTGTCCCCCAAGGCTCTGAGTCCTCCCAGCAGCCCAGAGCTCAATATTCTGAAGTTCCACTAGGAACAAGGACCCTGCCAAAAAAACAGCACCTGCTCAAGATAGATTTCAAGTTCAGCACCCAGGCACTGAGGGACTTTCTCTTTCTTGAAAACTCTGAGAGATGAACACGGCCCCAAGTGACCCAACCATTGAATGCCCTTGGAGATTCCAGCAGGAAGCCGGGGCAGTGGCACATGCCTGTAATTCCAGCAACTTAGAAGGCTGAGATAGGAGGATCACAAGTTCAAGGCCAAACTCATCAACTTAGTGAGAACTTGTTTCAAAATAAAAACTGCAAAGTACTGAGAATGTATTTCAGTGATAAAATGCTTCTGGGTTCAATACCCTCAAAAAAAAAAAAAATTCCAATAGGAGAGCGCTCCTAGTGAGGAAAGATACCTGGGAAAGTGGCCTTAGAGAAGCATCCACTCATTCTACAATTATCAGGTGGGCGTCGATGTTGTATGGACAAAATATATACCTGTGCAGAGCTGATGTTTTAAAGAGAATATCCAAATAAAAGTGAAATACAATGT